AAGAGGTGGACACATCGGTAATTCGTTTTTTTTTTCAAGTGTTGTCCGAAGGTCCATTAATAGAGGCCTAGAACCTTAGAATTGTAAGCTCCTTTCAAGCTGATACTGTGTGCGGTAAAAAGAAAAACAGTATTGTATGTTCTCGACTACAAGTAATCAAATGAATTGTGATGCATGTGTACTACTTTTTAAAGTAATTTTGCAATCATTTGATTACATTTTACGTAGTGATGTCGCAGTGCCAGTTGGCCTTATGTTTCGTAAGCTAGAAGGAAACAAGGATGTTAGACAGCAAAATAGTTTTTTATTTGCAATCAGAACCAGGGCAGAGGCACCTTTCTCACACTTGAAGGTAGATGCCTACTCTCCCTTAGAAGTGGTGCACCTCTCCTTTGCGCGGCGAAGCCACTCCTTGACTTCCGTTTCCACCTCTTTTTTCGTAGACTCTTTGCAGTGCTTTGTCCGCTTTATAGCAGCTGAAAGCAATAGATGACCCTTATAGTACAACTTAAAAAGGCAGGGAATTGCGTTGCAAACTTCTACTTACCAAAGATCAATTTGTACAGCTTAAGGCTACGGAAAACCTTCTTCCCTTTGCGCCCATCCATGCTGAACTTGGCTGCAGCTTCGTCACTAATCAGGTGTGCAAGCATAGACCTTACAGTTGTTTTGATAGACAGGTCCCCAAGGGAGGTCAGCTCCACAACCTGGAAGGAACGTACAGAGCACGACACAGTTAATACGAACAAGACATAGCCAGTTTTCGCTGTTTTACTCTGACCAGTGAAACGCTATCCCCAAAGCTACTTATATCATGGAAAGGGTTCATCTTGGGGCAATAACCTTGGTTATAAGAAAATGCAATCCTCAATTCACTGTCCATGCAAAATGCCAATGCCGTGTTTGAGCACATAAAACGTGGGGCTGGTGCCTGGGGAACGTAAGACATGACATAAGGAGCATTACGATACCCAGAAAGCAAGTATAGCCAAAAATGTTTGGCATTCAAGGTTAGCTGGATAGAAAGAACCTGAGCATGAATGGGTTTACAGCTTGTATTAACTGGGCTAGGCTTTACAATTAGCCAATTCACACCCCCTCTTTATCTCCGAGGCCAGTATGAGTGAACTGGTGATACCTTGAGAAAGATTGAATGAATGTGAGGGCCCAAATTTTATTTTATTTGGGCAGTTGTTTACACCTCCTAGTCATTGTTCTATCTCATTAGTCATTTCCCATGCTCTAAGATCTGGAACTGTGGGACAGAGTTGCCATTTGAAGAAATACGGAAGTAGTCAGAGCTTGCTCTACACTCATGAAATAATGCTAAAGTATAGCACCATTACAAACACCTTTGTTGCTTACCAGAGAACAGGCAGTCTCACCCCTTCGATGCATCTTGATTTAAAATCACAGCTTGCTCCTAGCTTATTTGTTATCTGCATGTCTTAACCTTAGCTGCACACTAGGGATAAGACATAACAGCAAAGCCTAGAGAATGCAAACACCAATACTTGCCTCAGTAAGTGACAAAAACTAGAGTATGGGCAGGCATTGATAACAGCAATTGCTTACCAAAGCCTCACTCGTGGCATCTGTAAGAGCGCCATCAAACACCTCAATTGCTTCAGGAGTGTCGAGGGGATCAACGAGGATGGGCTGGCTGGGCTCTACAACGAAACTCTCACGCGCTCGTAGCAATGTCGAAATCATGTCCATTATCTCCGTCTGCTGGCTCCTCATGACGCTCATCCCATTCAGCACCCGTCGCTGAAACTCTGCATGCAAAGAAAAGGCTTGAAATAAATATTGGCAAATAAAATTAGTGCAGGCAGGAGACAACATCCTACTTACCAGCAGCACTCAAGATCCTAGCAGTGGCCCGCAGATCAGCTAAAAAGAAAAAAAAAGATGGCAAAAAGTCAAGAGCTTAGCCATTTCAAAACTATTCAAAGTTGTGCAACCATGCTGTGAAAGAAAAACAATTGAAATCAAATTAGCTTACCGCAGGTCGAAGCACTGGTGCTAGGCGTCATGTGTTGCATAGCCTGCAGTGCTGAAAAAATTTAATGAAGGACACACAAAATATCTTAATACGCAGCTGCAACACAATTCTGCAGTAAAGTACCTTGATCTAATCGACTGGGAGCCGACATCCTTGTCAATGTTTGAGATGCGGTTGAAAAACCACTGGCATCTACGAAGATAAAGACAACTGCAGGCGCTAGATGCAATAAGGGTACAAGGTGACTTGGATTGCTTCTCATATTTATTTATGTTATTTATTTATTTGGTACTTCTGAACTGCCCTTCAAGAGCCCGTGGGCCTACAGGAGGGTGCACCATGCATACATGCAAGAGCTCAAATGACACAGAATACAAAATTAAAAAACATGCCTAAAAAAGTAGGAAAAAAATTTACATATGTAATATCAACAGAATGTGACCTCCGACAGTGGAAAACATACAGCGCAGAAACCTGTTGCCCCCATATCTGTTGTTTAAAAAACAGAAAGGAAAACATACAATCAATGTATACCTTGAGCAGGGCTCGCACGCTAAAACTTCCAGGCAAAAAAATATCCACCTCTGGAGAGTTCACTTTATTTAATATGCTAAAAGCCTACCGAAAAGTTTCCAGATGTGAAAAAGTTACTTTGTTTTTGGCGGTATGGTGCTCCATACATTTGCTTGCTCAAATTTGATTAAATATAAAACTTCACCCAGAAAGATATGAAAGAGATGGCGATTGTTTTTGCAAGCTTTGCATTTGAATTTGCACTGCTAGTGTGCGTAGCTCTTTATTTGTAAAACGATCATGCAATGTACCTTTATTTCGTGAACTGGGAGCCGGTGTCCTTGTTGACGTTTTAGGTGTCTGGAACGAACCACAGGCACCTGCGAAGATAAAGACAATTGAAGGGGCTACATGCAAGAAGGGTACATGGTGACATGGATTTTTCTCATATTTAGGTTCCTAGATGTGAAGAAAGCCACCTTGTTTTTGGTGGCATGGTGCTCCATATATTTGCTTGCCCAAATTTGATTAAATATAAAACTTCAGCGCTCACACGGAAATGAAATTAAAGTTAATTGGTTCTGCAAGCTTTGCACCTCAACTTGCAGCAATATGTGCATAGCCCCTCATTTGTAAAATGGCCATACATTATAGGTTGTTCGCACATAACGTCAATTTGGCATTTTGTTGTTAGCTTGTTTTTTCACACAAATTTACTACATTGAAGGATTACATCGTAACCGGTTGAGATGATGTCAGCGGTGCTCTACGCATTTGAGGGGGCGTGTCAATCCTTGGAATGCTCGAGTTTGGCACACGCCAGACAGCTCACAACAACAAAATGGTGGACGAAATTACATCAGTGAAAACACCCTATGGCTACCTTTATCTTGTGGACTGGGAGCCAGCGTGTTTATCGAAGTGCTAGACGACTGGGACGAACCACTAGCACCTGTTTGGAGATGTCTGATTAAGTTGGGAATTGGTAACATTAGAATACAAAAAGCGAAAAACAATATAAGTGGTATTCAGGAGAAACTGTACCTCGCATTAGTGCAGCTTGCGACATTTCACTGTGTATTGATCTTGCCGGGCTCGCACTCTGTGATTCCAGTCTCTGGCTACTGGCTGTGAAAAGCGACCAGAAAACCTCAAATTGTAAGATGAAAAAAGTACAAATTGATCTCCCAAAATATAAAAAATGCAGTTGTGCCCCAACCCCCTATATAAGCACATTGTTTACGTAAAACGACAGATCAAGTACGTCTGACGACACACCCTAGACTTATCAAGTGCCAGGTTCGAATTCTAAGCTAAAGGTTAAGAAACAGTTGCAACGGTCAACAAGGCTGTCAGCTGCAGAACAAAATAAAAATCAAATAGCGTTACGCGAGTTCTGCCGTGCGCAGAGCGGCATCGGGGCTTCCGGGAATTCATCCGAGCTTGAGTCGGACTCGCTCCAGCGTGTGGGGCGAAATCTCCTACGCTTTGGGCGTATCTCCTCGTCCGAGAGATCAGATGTGAACCGCGACCGCTCCAACTTAGATCGCCCTTCTTCGTAGGAATCTGTAGTTACATAAGAAAAAAATACTTACAATTAATGAACACTGCTGCATGCATGAAGAGATGCAATATACTCACTGAATAGTCCTTTCACAGTCACCTCGAACTCAGAAAACCCTGGTCCTGGTGGCCCCCCCTTTCGCACTAGCTTGACAGCCTTATCGGTGGACACCTTCGGCCATAAACAGTTGTTTCCCGTGACCCACGTGTAAGGCACGATCTCCACCTCTTGGGTTAGCCTAAATTCCACAATTGCATACATCCCTGGAAATGAACAGAAAAACTGATGTGAGAAAGTCATCAACACTAACCGGATCTAAAAATTTATGCAAAAGCTAAACATTTACCTTGAGCTGCTGAAATGGCGGCGGTTTCACGGTACCGTCGCTTTCACCGACAGTAAAACGTAAAACCCGGTCGTGGTAACACCAGAGTCCAAACCACGCGCTCCTAGAGCCGACAATGCACAAATATCGATGGATTTCGTTGGCTATGGATTTTAACGGATATGTGACACTAGCGGCACCTAGAAAAGTTGAAAACTACATGACGTCGGGGTTAAACATCAATAAATAAATAAATTGGTAGCGTTTGTTTTATTCCTACATTAGTTTGGTGACTTATCAATTTAAACAAATCTCCACAGACAAATTATAACAGCACAGTCGTACCGTCGGTGTCATCCTTGGTGTTATCCTACGTTGATTTCATGAATTGCAGTTTACACCAACACGCTCGGCAACAAGCAGTAAAATAATTATGCCTAATTTTTAACAACAAACAAGAAAAGTAGCGAGAAGTATATTCTTATTGAATCATATACCGACTAACCACTGATCGGTATAGCCAGCTTCGCGACCTCACCTGTCTCGGCTGGCAACCCGATTTTCGAGTTTTGTTCTTTTTCTTTGCTTCTTCCGTGTCCACGTTGTTGCTGTCGCGTGTCAACGGTTATACAACGGTGTTACTAAAATATTTTTATTTCTGTTTTAAGTAGTATGGTGCGTGTGTGGCAGTACTCACGTTGGACAATGTTCCAGAAGAACTTTTCGTCTAGTTGAACTATCTGCTTGAGTTGTCCATTTCGGGTTAGTACTTGCTTTCCATACCACGTCCTTTTTTTCCATCCCCCTCTCTTTTTGTGTTACTCGAAATTCATTCCGTTCGTGTTTTCGTAAGTAGCGTCCTAAAGGACTAGTACAGATGTTGGCTAGCGTTTCACAACTTTCGTTCACCTATAGTTGAACGGCCTACTTGTTTCTATTTTTGGGAAAGTTAGTTTAGTCTCATTCTGAACCGCTTCGTTATTTCGCGCATATCATCCGTACCACGCTTTGTTTTTTGGAAGTGTCTAGAGTTCCGTCCAGACGGAACGATAGTCGCCACTAAAGTTCCGTCCATGTTGGGTCTCGTATAAAAGAAATGGTGAAAGATAGTTTCTGAAGTGGTGGTGTAGTGTAGTGGAAAGGTGTCTGCTTTACACGCAGCGGGCCCGGGTTCGAACCGCAGTGTGGGGTTACTTTTTTTTTTTTTTCTCTCAATTTTTTTGTTGGTATTTACATTTCTTTTTTACAATTATCACTGAAACATATTAACCCATGTTGTCGACGAAACTTTGCTTCCTTTCCGGAAGTGCAAGGGGGCATAGCGGGTTTGGGTTGCTGTCTGGACTCCGCGAAGCGGCGTGTACGGAGGGCTAAGTGGTTTAATAGGTTTGTAATTAGCAGCCGCATACTGTCGCCGCGAAGCGGCGTGAACGCAGGCGGGGGGGTGTGTTAACGAGCTCCCCAGTGATACACGCGAAGTCCGAAAAGAGTGACCCAAATGGCACGAGCTCTCCGCGTTCCAGACGGAACTCTAGTGGCGACTATCGTTCCGTCTGGACGGAACGCTAGCCACACCGTTGTTTTTTCCGTCTTCGCCCGTTCCTGTCTGGCTGGAAGCACATCCAGTCTGCGACTGTGAGCTACAGGTACGTTGACGGTGTACGTGAAAATTGCACGCACTCATGCCTTTGTCAACTTGTTTTCTTAGGTCTGCACGGTGGAGAGGGGCTTCCCCACGCCTGGGTCAAGCACATCCAGTCTGCCGCTGTGAGCTACAGGTACGTTGACAGTGTACGTGACAATTGCCCTCACTTATGCCTTTGTCAACACAGGGGTTTCCCCACGCCTGGGTCAAGCACATCCAGTCTGCCGCTGTGAGCTACAGGTACGTTGAAGGTGTACGTGAAAATTGCCCTCACTTATGCCTTTGTCAACTTGTTTTCTTAAGTCTGCACGGTGGAGAGGGGCTTCCCCACGCCTGGGTCAAGCACATCCAGTCTGCCGCTGTGAGCTACAGGTACGTTGACGGTGTACGTGAAAATTGCCCTCACTTATGCCTTTCTCAACTTGTTTTCTTAGGGCTGCGCGGTGGAGAGGGGTTTCCCCACACCTGGGTCAAGCACATCCAGTCTGCCGCTGTGAGCTACAGGTACGTTGACGGTGTACGTGAAAATTGCCCTCACTTATGCCTTTGTCAACTTGTTTTCTTAGGTCTGCACGGTGGAGAGGGGCTTCCCCACGCCTGGGTCAAGCACATCCAGTCTGCCGCTGTGAGCTACAGGTACCTTGACGGTGTATGTGATAATTGCCCTCACTTATGCCTTTGTCAACTTGTTTTCTTAGGGCTGCACGGTGGAGAGGGGTTTCCCCACACCTGGGTCAAGCACATCCAGTCTGCCGCTGTGAGCTACAGGTACGTTGACAGTGTATGTGATAATTGCCCTCACTTATGCCTTTGTCAACTTGTTTTCTTAGGTCTGCACGGTGGAGAGGGGCTTCCCCACGCCTGGGTCAAGCACATCCAGTCTGCCGCTGTGAGCTACAGGTACGTTGACGGTGTATGTGATAATTGCCCTCACTTATGCCTTTGTCAACTTGTTTTCTTAGGGCTGCACGGTGGAGAGGGGTTTCCCCACACCTGGGTCAAGCACATCCAGTCTGCCGCTGTGAGCTACAGGTACGTTGACAGTGTATGTGATAATTGCCCTCACTTATGCCTTTGTCAACTTGTTTTCTTACGGCTGCATGGTGCAGAGGGACCTCCCCATGCCTGGATTTTGCACCATATGTTCATAACACACTTAAACTTCCCTTTAGATGACAGGGAATAGCTTTTCCCCGTCATCTACAGGTAGGTTTCAGTGTGTTGTGAATATGCACTCATACCTTCGTCAATTTGTTTGCTTGGCGGGGGAGAGGGGGAGCCGTAGCGGCCTCCCTCCACCGAGGACTAGCACTTCGTCACTCGTCCGGTTAATTTGCGATAGTTACCGGCACTGGTATCTTAAGCTTTTCTCGCTAGGCATGAGATTGCTTTTCCACGACACAGCCAATCTGGTAGATAACATAGGCTAAAAATACTGAAAAAGTCTCTAGGCACAAGTGCCATTCATATAGTCCAATTAATATAATTAAAGCATATCCCAGTTGAAAATTCCCATTAAGTTCCAATTGGAATTTTCTTATTGGTACCAATTGGTGACTTATTGGTACCAATTGGGTTTTTGGACAACCAATTGGTCACTGCCAATGGGAACCAACGGGAACCATTGGGAACCCATTCAGGTTCCAACTGGAAAAATAATTCCAATTGGTGAGACCCATTGGCCAGTGCGGTTCCAGCTGGAACCCACTAAAACCAATTGGTTCCAGTTAAAACCAGTTGGAATTCCAATTGGATTTAATGGGAATTTTCAGCTGGGATTTCTTTCATTTGTTTACAGACGGACACTCCCTCCAAGGTCTGACTAGGACATGGGTCAGACAACAGCAAGACAGCTGCTAAATATATGGCAGAAGAGCTTTCCAGGGCAGAAAGGTATTGCACAGTTGACAAAAAGGGCGACTGTCGAGGAGTGGAGCCACCAGAAGATCTGGAGAAAATGCATACTATTAAAATTATCATCTTATTTCAATATAGATTTGGCTCATGGTCTTTCATTGGCACAGCATGCGGGCTAGGGTACGACATTTTGAACATTCATAGCTGTCCAAGTAAAGGGTAAAGCATAAAGCGCCGTTCACACTCTTGCGACCGAGAGACCAGACCGGTTTTTAAGCCTTTTGCGACTTCTTAGGACCGGATGCGCTGCAGCGGAGCTGGTCCTAAGAGATCGCAAGAGGCTTAAAAACCGGTGTGGTCTCTCTCGGTTTTACTCGGTCGCAAGAGTGTGAACGGGCCTTTAGACGTAATGCCCTAATCCCTAGGGATTTTGAGGCGCGATATTCAAAGTATGTCCGCTGAGGATCCCTGTTCGGATGTCCTCCGGATGTACAAAACTCTTACCTTTGTACGTCCGTCGGACGTCCACGGGACGTCCTTCGGATTTTCGCGGATGGCCCTCGGATGTACGATATATCCGAAAAGGATATCCATCGGATGTCCGATGGATGTCCAGTGGTTGCTTGGGAAGCCACACATAAGCGCAAAGAATGGCACTAAAAATGCTGGACAAGGCTCTACCGATCAAAAAGATCAGAAAACCATAAGCCTAAACCAATGCTACATCCAAATTTTTTTTTTTTTTTTGGGAGGGGGGGGCAAAATGCATCTGCATGTTATTCCCGTCTCCAGCTCGTTGCTCGCCCTCCCGCATAAGTTTCCCCCTTGGCTATATATGCGACTGAGCCTAGGAGCCTAGCTATATTTACCAATTATTAAACTCAAGATTGCTCTAATTGATTAGGGTGTCTCAAAATAGATTTCTGGCGCTTCTATATATTTAATTACAGCTCACAACACGCGAGAGAAGGGCGGGCACGGCACAGAACCCGGCTCGACAGCGGTGGTCCCGGCAGCCGAGGAAAAGCCCGGACAGACGAGTCCAGGTCCGTGGGGCTTTCACCGAAGCTTGCTTACAAACCTCCGCCTGTGCCTAGCGAGCCTGCCGAGGATTTCCAGGACAAGACAAACACCATGCCAATGCCGACGTGCAACACAGTGCCGTAACCGGATTCGTAGAACTGGACTTTGTATATATATCCACACCGTTTTTTTTTTCTAACTTCTTGTTCATACGGTTGTAAATAATATCTACCTTCTTATATTCACCGCTCTTGAATTCTGAGTCCCTTTAATTATTCTTTTCCATCACAGAGGCACATGGTTTGGTCAACAATGAAAGCACTTTTAACACAATCCACACATAAGCGCAAAGAATGGCACTAAAAATGCTGCACAAGGCTCTACCGATCAAAAAGATCAGAAAACCATAAGCCTAAACCAATGCTACATCCAAATTTTTTTTTTTTGGGGAGGGGGGGGGGGCAAAATGCATTTGCATGTTATTCCCGTCTCCAGCTCGTTGCTCGCCCTCCTGCATAAGTTTCCCCCTTGGCTATATATGCGACTGAGCCTAGGAGCCTAGCTATATTTACCAATTATTAAACTCAAGATTGCTTTAATTGATTAGGGTGTCTCAAAATAGATTCCTAACGCTTCTATATATTTGATTACAGCTCAATGAGACGAGCCCTTTGGTTGTAAACATGACCCTTATGAGCTCAGCTTAGTTGCCAGAAAAAATCTGCCAAAAAATTACCAGGACCAATATTGGGCATGCACAAAGATGGCTTAAATGGCCAAGCAGGCCCTTTTCCTGCACATATCCACGACACATCAATGAACCCATTTGGTTCTATTGAAATTTGGCCTCACATTTAGCTTAGGCCAAAATCTGGTAACCACGAAAACTATTGGATAGAAAGCTCCACAAAGAGCAAAATGAATACAAACACACCACGTGGTCGAGGGAGGGAGGGAGGGGGGGGGGGCTTCGGCAGCGACACATAAAACACCAAGCATGCGCCTGTGTTCACAATAACTGCTCACCTGCAACATTTGAAAATAAGCAAAAGAGGTATCAAGTGCCCACCCAGCTAACCAAAACCGCAGCGTCTTCTCCGAGCGCACCGTTGCAAAGCGGTAAAGCTTGACGCGCGTGCTCCGGTTCAAAACGGTAAAGCCGCGCTGAACCAATGCGCACACGGTTCAATGTAAGTAATGTCGATTAGCGACCCATGAATCATCACTGCTAGTCTCTGAAGTGTCTGAAGACTCTGAAGCAAAGCGACTTACTTGGAATTGGTCCACACCGAGCTCCACATGGCAGCTCAGAACGGAGCAAGGCCTATGTGCTCGACACTATTGAGTTTGATGAACTTTCATTTCTACACTGTGAATGTGACTTCAGAATGCGTTGTTCTGACCAACCTTCGTCACTTCCAGAATGAGCCACTGTTTGTGAAGAAAAAGATAAACAAACATGTAATAAATCCTCGTCATGGTTTGTTTTGAGTGTGTAGTGCTTAGAAAGATGTAAATAGTTGTTTTTGGTGCTTCAAATTATAAAATGTTGTTTTGAGGTGTATTTTTATTTCTAGAGTGATACCTCTTTTTGTGACAATGAAAATAAATGTATGACTAGCCTAAGTCGAGTATCGTCAGGTGGAACGGCCGGAGTGTTTATTGGTTGAAAGACTGAAGGCAGCCTGAACCAATATCTTAGTAGCCTTCAATACCGGTGTCGGGGTACAGGAGGCTGACCCTCTAAAGATGTCTTCCAATGATTCTCCAATTGCTCAACTACAACGTCTGGGGCTATTGCACTTAAACATTCTTAATTTTTCTAGCCTGTATTTGCGCTGTCGCTAACCATGTTCCGTTTTCCAATTTTCCACACGCACCTTCTCCTCCAATCAAAACAGCACGAGAGCCTGCCGTGAACAGACTTGGCATCATCGTGTGTCATATATCTCCCGATGATTGCCCCCCCCCCCCCCCCCCCCCCAGCATGCACTAATGCCAAAGCTAGAGCACTAGCTCATAGCATCGCCAGGTAGTCCCAGTGCACGAACCTCGTGCAGCTTGAGTATCTACTGGTACTGGTAGAAGCGAGCGAGTTGAAGATGAATACTTTCGTGGTCTCTCGCATGTCACGAAGTAACGCGCGCGCAAGCGGACGCTGGCCAAAGTCGGCTACGTCACATCTGTCACGCCGCGTGCCTCGAAAATTCGCC